AAGCTTCTTAGCACCTTTCCAGAGAACGAAGGAATGTGACCCTGGCCATCTGTGAGGACAGATATAAAAAAGCGAGCAAGCAATGACCTTCACTCAGCAAAAAGAACGACCAGACCCTTGTCTTTGAGATAGTGTTTCTTAGCAACCAAGCCAGATGGCCTCAGTCCTTCTTCTGAGTAGCCCCTGACCTCCGGCCAAAAGCCCACAGCCCCAATCTTCAAGGATGAGCTAATCACCCCCACCCACACCTTTAATTGCAGCCACATCCACACTTGGCAGGACTGGCCAAACTTGAGCAACTAAGACTAACCAATTATCTTACTTTATAGCTTCCTCATCCAATCCTGAATTGCCAAGACTGCAACCCCTAAAAATTCCCACGCCTTGTCCTTTAAAAACCCAAGGCTTTGTCTCCCAGGGCCACTCTTTGCTGACTGGCAGGGGTGACCCCATTGTGCAAAGGTTAAAATAAACCTCTTACATTTGCATCGATAGATGGTGGTCTCCAGTTTTCTTCAGTCACCTCCCAGGTAACTAGGCACCTGCCGGGCCTGACAGGCTCAGGCCAGGCCTAACAGTTTCTCTGTGAATCCCCAGCTGTCCTGGAACTCAATCTGTAGACCAGGCTGGCCTCGAACCACAGAGACCCACCTGCCTCTCTGCCTCCCAAGTGCTGGGACTAAAGGTGTTCACCACCATGCCCGGCCCAGGTTACTTTATTTTACTTAAGTTTCTTTTTTTGAGATGGGCTCTCACCGAGTGTGCTAAGCTGGCTGACCAACAAATTCAAGGGACCTGCCTATTACAGGTTACAGGGCCACACTAACAGCTGGCTTTTTTGTGTGCATGATGGGATCAAACTCAGGTCCTCATGCTTGTACAACAAGCACTTCACACGTTGAGTTTGAGCTGTCTCCTCAGCCTCCTGAAGACTGTATTTAAAAATATCCAGCAGGCTGGTGACACCTGCCTTTGGTCCCAGAATTCAGGAGGTGGGACAGAAGGATTCGAGTAGGCTAGCCTGGTCTATATAGCAAGTTCCAAGACAGGATTAAATAGAGAGACCCTGTCTCAATAATACATACATACATACACCAAAGCCATCAGCGCTGGAGGGACAGCTCCACAGAGCACTCATTGCTCCTACAGAGGACTAGAGTTGAATTACCAACACCTACATAAAAGCTCACCACAATCGTCCTGATTCAGTTCCAGATCTGTTGCCGTCTCCTGCCCTCCACAGCCACCAGGAACGCACACTGCACACTACCTACATCTATATACATGTGTGGTAGTGGGGGATTCATACACAGAAGAAAAAAAACATGGACATTCACTGCATTTTCACTCATTGTGAAAAGATGCTGCGGTTCAGCCAAGAACGTGTGCAAATGCTTGTTCCTGCAACCTCAGCACGGGTGTGAAGAAAGGATCCCACACAAGGCATCAGGTTTACTGGTCAGCTAGCTAGTCTGGCCAGTTGGTAAGCTCTAGGTTCAGTGAGGGGTCACAGAGGGGGGTCAAGGAAAGAGTGCACGATTCTAAGAGCTGCTCAGGGTGAGAGGCGGAGGCGAAGCTGGACAAACAGCACCCCACCATTTGCCAGCTTTTCCTCTCTCCCAGTAGGTGAGTTCTTAGAGCAGCAACCGGAACCCCGCCCCCACCCAACCCCATTCACCAGCTGTCTCCTAACAGCTGCTAGAATTCTCCCTTTTGTGAGTTAATGACACTTGGTACTAAAAACCCAAGGCCTTTGTCTCCCAGGGCCACTCTTTACTGACTGGCAGGGGTGACCCCATTGCGCAATGGTTAAGATAAACCTCTTACATTTGCATGATAGATGGTGGTCTCCAGGAGTTCTCTTCCTGTCTTCTTATTGATTTGTTTTGCTTGACTATTTAATTCTGACTGTGTTGGGCGGGGCCAGTCCCACGGGGCATGTCTGCGGGTCAGAGGCACCCTGTAAACCAGTTCTTTCCTTTCACCTTTACAAACGTCTCAGGGATCAAATTCAAGTCTCAGTGGCACTTGTTTTTTGTTTTTTTTAATTTATTTTTGAGACAATGTCCTACACAGCCCAGGCTAGCTATGAACTCTCTCTAGGTAGCTGAGAACAGACTTAACTCCTGATCTCCTGCCTCTACCTCCTGAACGATGGGATCACAGGCGTGCGCCACCATACCTAGTTTTTCCCCACCTCAGGGTTTGAGAGACCCCGCAAACTGCAGAAGCCTAGAAAGCCCCTGGGAAGATTGCTGGGTTGATGAAGATGACCTTTTCTCCTCTCCCTGCATTATTTCTGTGTGAGCTGTCAATCAGCCATGTTCCTCGGGCCCACATGCCTTTATGCAAGAGTGTACGAACCTTCAAAAAGATTCACATCAGCCGGGCTCAGTGCTGCACACCTATCCCAGCACTCTTCAGGGCAGAGGCAAGCGATCTCTGTGAGTTCAAGACCAGCCTGGTCTACAAAGTGAGTCCAGGACTGCAAATGATACAGAGAGAAACCTGTCTCAAAAAACAACAAAAGATCGAAACCAAAAGATCAGAGGCCAAATTGGCTCTTTGTGTTTCTTTTTATTATTTTACTGTAAGAAGTGAGCTAGGAGCTGCTGCTGCTGAGCAGCGATTCCTTTGGATTCCCAGGAGCCCTTTTGGCTTCTGGAAGCCCATTACTGCCAGAGGCAGGAGAACAGACTGAAACTTCATTTCTTTTGATGGGAAGCACCTTCTCCCATAGTCCACAGCTGCCCTCTGGGACTCTACGGTGGCCCAAGGGCTGCTGACTAGTGACTCTTTAGTCATGAGACTGACATCTCAAGCGAGATGGTAATTAGCAAGCCTGCTCAAAACAGAAGCATTCCTAACCACCCCGGTGTACACAACCCTAGACCAGAAAGAGCTTCCCCAAGCTGAAGGTCCATCTGGGCTGGCGGAGGGCTTGACTGGCATGCCCAGAGCCCCCGTTCAAGCCCCATACAAGGTACAGGGGGTAGACGGAGAAGGACCAGTTCAAGGCAGCCTTGACTTCACAGCCAATCTGAGGCCAGTTTGGGCTGCGTTAGACCCTATCTCCAAAAAAAAAAAAAAAAAATGTCTCAGTGATTAAGAGCACCAGCTACTCCTTCAAAGGATCCAGGTTCAAGTCCTCATATCAACATGGTAGCTCAGACCCGTCTTCTGGGTTTCATGATTACCTACATGCATTTACATACATTCAGGCCCCCCACACACATATAAAATTATAAATCTAGAACAAAACAAAACAAAACACTAAACAAAGATCCACACTCCAGGGAGACCCTGCCACACAGACAGAAGAAGAATGTCCAATCAATTTCCTCTTGACCATCCATCCTTTATCAAAGACAGACATAGAAATGGGCAATTTTCCCTCAGTCTTTGGACCATTTTCAAAAGCTCCCATAGCCCCTAAAGACAGCCAGTGAGCTGGCTCAGTGGGTCCAGGTGCCTGCTGCCAAGCCTGGCCCCTGAGTTCAATCCCAGGGCCCACATGGTGAAAGGAGAGAAGTGACCCCTGCAGCTGACCTCTGGATCCCCCCCCCCCATAAACACATAGATTTTTTTAAAGAAAAGGTTAAAAAACTTTTAAAGCTTTAAATAAACCTTTTATTCTTCCCCTCTCCTCCTCCGTTGTTAATGAGTTCTTTGTGGGCTGGGAAGATGGCTCCGTGGATAAAGGCATCTGCTGGCAATCCTGAAAACCTGAGTTCAATCCCGGAGATCCACGTGGAAGAAGGGAACTGATTCCCAGAAGTTGTCAGTTGACCTCCAAATACGTACCAAGGCACGTGTGCACACACACACATGAAAATAGGTAAATATGAAAAACGTTCAGTGAGTTTTGTGTAGGGGGCACTAGCCAGGTGCATCACGGTGGAAAGGAAGGCAGCCAGCTCACCTTTCTATCTCTAGACCAGTATGCACCGGGGCTCCCTGGGCCCCAAAGGATATCATGGCTGCCTCAGACTTCGCATAAATCCTCTCTTATTTTACCCTCGGGGTCTAGACTCCCGCTGCATCCAATTCCCTCTTTTCAATACACACTGTGTGCACTCTTTGGAAGAAGGCAGGGGACAGAAAAATGGAACCACTAATTCAAACCAGAGTAACCCAGCACACAACCGGCAGCCTTTTCGCCCAGCGGGTCTGCAAGGCCCCTTCCGTGAAGATTCTGACTTGGCTACTTGACACCCCGTTTCAGAGCGGGTGTGGGTTAAGCGGGGGCGGACGGCAGGAAGGTCAGAAGCCCTCCCGGGTAGCTGGCCTGGGCTGCCCGCGAGGTTACTATCCGGGACAAGGCCACACACTGCGTCTGGCCTCTCCAGTTGCCCTGTCCCCTTACCCCAGTGAGTAAAATAAATGTTTATTTGCTCCCTGGAGGTGGAAGAAGGCCCTGTGACTAACGTGGAGAGGTTCCTTGGTAGCAGCCAAGACCCAGGGCCTGAAGCAACTGGTCACTTGTCACCACCATACACAGCCCCACAGACAGAAGTAGAGCAGAATGAGCTAGGCTGTTACTGGGGGCTGACACAGTTGCCTGAGGCTAGTGACCACTGTCGGCGACCACTACAGGAGCAGAGGTTCGCTTTCTCTACGGAGAATCTCTATTTCGCAAGCAAAGAGCTGCTTGGTGTCAGTTTCCCAACAAATGGGTTACTCTGAAAAGCCTGGGTAGGTGGTACTTTCTCTACTCGGTCCACAGCACCATCTATTTCTTTTCTCCGCCCAAAGTCTGAAAGTTGACTGATCCAAGACAACGTCACCCTCCAAGACAAGCAGGTCACGAACACCAGATACGGAAATGAAATAAAGAAGGGAGAAAGAAAGGAACGAAAGAAAAAAGTGTGTGTGTGGCGGGGGGTGGGGGGCTGGGGGGTAGAAGGAAGCTGGAAGGGAAGGGGCAGGGGGAGCCCGGCACCTGCGGCTGTGCCCCGGGCCGCCTCGGCCCCTCGCTGCGGCCCGCGCCCCGCACTCACCCACCGCGGCGATGCGGAAGCCTCGGGGCGGCCGCAGGGCTCGGCGGCGCCACGCCTCCCGCAGCACCTGCGCGCAGGGCCGGGGCGCCTGCACCAGCAGCACCCCGCGCCGCAGCCAGCCGAGGAAGGCCAGGCGCGCGGCGGCGCGGGCCAGGCGCGCGTCCCAGAAGCAGCGCGCGTTGGCGCGGCGGAAGGCGCGGAAGAGCGCGCGGCCG